AGATATATTTAAAAATGGAAACTTATTATTTAATTTTACTTTTTCTGCTTTATTTGACCATGAACACTAAGGCAGTGTGAACCCATTTGTGAATATATCTTATTCTAGCAAAATTATAGGCTAAATAAGCTTGGGGGCTAAGCTGGAAAAGTAACCACCTTTTATAAATACTTTTTCAATGGAAAAATGAATTTCATGTTCCACATAACTGATTTACAAATCGACCATTGGAATACACTCCATTCGCAAGCACATACTGCTAAAAAATCTAGCAGATGCATCAATGAACTTTACATGGCATCATTCTGATAAACTTAGTCTTCCTCCTCTACTCAGTAACTAGGTATCTATCTGGAGCAAAGTCAGGGAAGATACGTTCAGACATACAAGAGTTGGGTCAATCATGTTTATATGTATAGATGACTTAGAGAGGACCATGCCAAACAACTCACTGTCCTTCCTGGTGAGTATAGGGGGAGATTAAGAAAGAGTTCATATGTTCAGTGAATTTGTCAGGAAATCTTGTTTGCATAAGATAAAAAGATCCTAATGACTCTTAAGATAGGCAGAATCTTCGAGCTGATGGTTTTGGAGAAGTCCTTTAAAAGAGTATAATTCTCAAGAGAGAACTTCCCAGGGGTATGGACATGCAATGTTGTCCTGGTCACCCTTGTCTGCTACCTTTGACTTCCTGACTTGTAAGACTAATGGCAGTTATGTTAAAACACAGTTCAGTCTTCTGAGGATTTCATCCATTCATCCATCCATCCATCCATTCATTCACTGAGTATACACAAGTTCAGGACTCTGAAACGTGGGGCCAGCCGGGCCATTGGTCCCCAAGCCTCAAGCTTACAGAAACCATGAACTGTGACATCTGCTCAAGCACCAATGTGCATGGGAGTAACATGAGGCCTCATCACAGATGTTGCAACCACCTGAAATCTGGGAGGTGCAAGAATAACTAAAGAATTATACTGAAAGTATGTTCTCAACTGAATCTAAAAGCTGCTTGATTCCAAGACAATCTCTCAGAAAGCATTCAAGATGTTGTGCTGGGAAAATAGAGAAACAAATAAGGAAAGATCTCAGGAATTTACATTCTAAGGGAGGAGATTGATGTGTAAAAGTTCAGTATAATACAAGGCAGAGAGAAACTGTTGCTATGCTGGCAGTACAAGTTTTTGGCCAAGCAAGGACTCAGGAGAGTTGCAGCCCCACATTCTTGACCTTGTCTATAAGCTTTTGTCTGACAGCCTTTGGCTCCTACCACCTCTGCCTTCACCTCTGTGGTAAAATTCTTATTCTTTGTATCTTATTCTTGTCTATAAGCTTCTGTCTGACAGCCTTTGGCTCCTACCACCTCTGCCTTCACCTCTGTGGTAAATATCTTATTCTTGGTAGTTCCAGATAAGAAGAATCCCCTGGCCCAGAGATTCACGAACTTTCTTGGTTCATAGTACCTCTATGCCAAAAGAAATGCCTAACAGTTTTGTTTGTTAAGTAGCTAGGTCCAAAAACTTTAAAATGTATAATGTATTTATGTCCTAACAACTTAGTGGCCATTTGAAAAAATACATATATGTTGAGTGAAAAAAAATGTTTCTTTCATTCTTACATAATCACAGTTATTTACTGATGGATGTGTGTGCCTGTAGGGCACTGCACAACTTCTCAAATCTTGCCTTCGGATTGGACACTGACACCCTTATTTCCGGTTCCACAACAATTTTTGCAGGGCGCTAGCTTTTTATCACAGCAAGTTCTGAAAACCCAGCTTTGTGAAGCTAGGGTGTCCTCAGAGGAGCTGGAGCTAATGTTTTTATTAATTAATTAATTAATTTTTGGCTGCGTTGGGTCTTCGTTGATGTGCGCAGGCTTTCTCTAGTTGCGTCGAGTGGGGGCTACTCTTCATTGCGGTGCGGGGGCTTCTCATTGCTGTGGCCTCTCTTTGTTGTGGAGCATGGGCTCTAGGCGCGTGGGCTTCAGTAGTTGTGGTGTGTAGGCTCAGTAGTTGTGGCTCACAGGCTCTAGAGTGCAGGGTCAGTAGTTGTGGTGCACAGGCTCAGTTGCTCCATGGCCTGTGGGATCTTCCCGGACCAGGTCTCGAACCCATGTCCCCTGCATTGGCAGGCAGATTCCTAACCACTGCACCACAAGGGAAGTCCCTGGAGCTAATTTTGAAGCTGTGAATTACTGTAAGCTAGTAATTCATGCAGTGTGAACAGATGGGGAGTATTGCTGTGTTACTCTTACAAATTTAAAATACCCTGTAGCACTCTTATGTTTGTGGTAGTGCCCCATGCACAGTCTTGGAACCAGGACCTTAGCTGTCTTTTATCTGTTCACTCTGGTACAAGAGCCTTCCTCCTAGTGTTATCCATGGCCTCAATCCCCATATCCTGTCAGGTTTAGACAGGGAATGCAGGGCTTTGCTAGGTCAAAATGTGGACTCAGAGAGTTGCCAGTAAACTGAATCAACATCAGTTATGTTGCATTGAACTACACCCATAGAGATGAACTATTAAATCTGGAGAGGATAACAGGATACCCCTATTACTTAAGTCTAGAAGCAACGTAGCTTGATATATTTTTATTTTTCATAATTCAGAAGCAATTGTGAGTCTTGAGGTCCTCACCATGATCATTTACTAACATGGTTCTAGTGAGTTCAATGGGCCCAGTTTATAGATTTATGTCACCAGAATGCCAGTTTTATATTCACTGTACTGAATGTTTTATTTCTCTAATTCAAGTATGAAATTGGTCTGGAGCTTCAGATGACTTTGGAATGCCTATGTTTTCTGGAAGCAATGAGGAGAAAGAGACATAAATTTGTAAGAATAAGAAATCCTGCTGAAAATGGGACCTAATAGACTTGCCAAGTTCTCTTTCAGGACAGGATGTGTGTAAAGGGATTAATGTTTCTGAAATATAAAATAAATCTGTTTTTTATTTAAGTAAATTATGTTGCCCTGTGATTCCCCATCAATGAAATTCACAGCATTCATTGGCTTAAGGGAAGGACAGGTATCACACAGGACAAAGAAGTCATTGCTGGGCTCTGAGCCTCAACGAGAATATTCTGGACTCCCTGCAGCAATGGTTCTCCAACTTTAGTGAGCATCAGAATCACCGGGAGGGTTGCTAACAGACAGATTACCGGGTCTTACTCCAGAAACCCATCCAGAGTTTCTGATTCAGGGAGTCTGGGGTGGGACTCAAGAATTTGTATTTCTGATAAGTTCCCAGGTAATACTAATGCTGCTGGTTTTGAGAACCACTCCCCTAGAGGACAATAGTTCCTGAAAGTCAAGTGTACTGAGAGGGAAAGGAGATTTATAAATTTCAGAATTTCCATTTCCATATCAAAAGCAAAGCCTGGAGTTCTAAAACTGGGACTTTACCATAAATAGATCTTAGTAGTCATCACCAGACAAGATTCGAAGTCCCTTCTCTGCTGGAAAGAGGTGACAAAGGGGTGGGAAAGGAGACAAAGTGACAATAGAGAGACCCTCTCCCTAACACCACCTTAGAGTCTAATTTAAATGGCAAGAAGCAACAACCCTTAGTTAATGTCAGGGAATCAAATATTATCCAAAGCCCATTTTCTTGCCTTGAAAGGTGTCAGTCCTCCCATGAAAACTTTTCTGCTAGGGTGTTTCAGTACTCCCCCCATTGCTATTAGATTTTTTCCTATGCATAAAAAATTATTCTTAGGGCTTCCCTGGTGGCACAGTGGTTGGGAGTCCGCCTGCCGATGCAGGGGACGTGGGTTCGTGCCCCGGTCCGGGAGGATCCCACATGCCACGGAACGGCTGGGCCCGTGGGCCATGGCCGCTGAGCCTGCGCGTCTGGAGCCTGTGCTCCACAGTGGAAGAGGCCACAACAGTGAGAGGCCCGCGTACTGCAAACAAAAAACAATTATTGTTAAATCAGTCCAAGGTACAACTTCATGAAAGTTTCATATACTTGAGCACTGAATTCACTGATGACTGGAAATAAGACATCACTCTACTGCCCAGTGAATCAGTGTTTTACAAAGCATCAAATATCTCCCTTTTTTTTGTGAACAGAAGGTTCATTCAGGACTTTTAATTGTTAAGAATCTTCCCTTTGTTTCACACTGAGGACAAAAGCTATATTCTTTTTGCAATGGGTACAACCCTGCAATGGTATTCGTTTCCTACTTGGATATGACAGATACCCTCTCAGGAACTAAACTCATTTCTGCACAATGTACTTGAGACTTGGAGAAGTAAACCACAAATTATCTCCTCTAAATAGCACTCCCCAGTTCAGAACGTGAGGCAGATAACCTCAATGTGAACTTTGCCTATGGATATTTATCTACAGCCTCCAAGTAATATGGATTTATTCTGGTAATATACAGACCATTTTGCAGATAATGTTGAAAGCAAACATTTTATTACAGATTTCTTGTAAATTACACAAGGCTGTGTTTTAATAGATTTTCCTTCCAAGCCTCAGTCTCACAACATGGGTAGTTATACAGATTTTTATTATGATCTTGAATATTGACTTTTAATTATACACTGGTTAACAAAACAAATAAAGCTGTCATTTCCATCAAGGGAGCATTAAGGATGGAGGGTATCTTTTGACATCCCACCTACTTTCCCATCCCAGCACTACTTTTTAACATTACCCACGCTAGGCATAAAAATGTAAAAATCTCACATTACTTTAAGAAGACCCTGGAGCAGTTTTTAATGATGTTTATTGCAAGGGATACATGGCTTACAGTAATGATAGTTGAAGGGCACCTTAACAACCGTATTCAAGAGTAAGAAGGGCTGTTCAAAGGGGCATAAGAGGCATTATTTCCAGCTCAATAGGAGACAGACTAGAAAACATACTTTACACTGAAGACATAAAAGGTAGACAATCCAAAGAACTTCCTGACCACGAGGATATCGGGGGAAACAATTCATTAAAAAATCCAAGAACTAAACTCCACTCTTTCTGCTATATTTCAGTTCTTAAGATGGCCTTGTAGAAACTCAGCAACTGACAGCAATGGCCCAAGAGTCCTGCAGATCTGAAGTCAGCATCCAGAAATGGTGACCCTTCTAACACCACTCTCATTCGAAGGCTCAATGATCTCATCTTTGAAGATAAGAAGAGGTGGTAAGGGATATCTATTGGGCGTGTATATTTTTATATTCTGTTTCTGAGTTTGAGGAGGGTTAAAGGCTTTTGAAATTTTTTTCCCCGGCCATTCAGGCAGGAAAATAGGTCAAGAGCTCAGTAAGACCAAGGACATCAGTGGTTTATTTCTGTATGGCAGTTAACATTATCTTTAACTCTTTGTCCCCAAAATATCCTGAAATATATCCTGTTTGGAAGCGTTAGGGGTGAAGACAAATTCAGGTTATGTGAGGTCTTAATGAATGTTGGTTGTTTAATAAATCTTGGTAGGAGATATGAATGAGCGAATGAACAGATGAAATTCTGACAATGACACAATGGGATCAAATAAGTTTAATGTATTTTATTTAGAACTATGGAAAATTGGAGTAGGAAAGGAGCTCAGAAATGAATCTAATCCATTTTTTTTTACATCTTTATTGGAGTATAATTGCTTTACAATGGTGTGCCAGTTTCTGCTTTATAACAAAGTGAATCAGTTATACACATACATATGTTCCCATATCTCTTCCCTCTTGCCTCTCCCTCCCTCCCACCCTCCCTATCCCACCCCTCCAGGCGGTCACAAAGCACTGAGCTTATCTCCCTGTGCTATGCGGCTGCTTCCCACTAGCTATCTACCTTACGTTTGGTAGTGTATATATGTCCATGCCATCCTCTCGCTTTGTCACAGCTTACCCTTCCCCCTCCCCATATCCTCAAGTCCATTCTCTAGTAGGTCTGTGTCTTTATTCATGTCTTACCCCTAGGTTCTTCATGACATTTTTTTTTCTT